TAATAAGCGGTGCTTGATAAGCAAGTAGTATAATAACATTAGGAGTGACATATATAATAATATAACATATATTATATATTATTATTATCTATTCTTATTATATCTATTATTGTTCACTCCTGATAACATGTATATGTATCCTGCCAGTATAGCATATCATCGGTGGGTGTCTTGAATAGGAGATCATATATGCGTGTTCATGACCTAACACAAACAACGTCTAACATGATCTGGACTTTGTGGTCGTAATATCTCTCAGCTCGTTCGCGACTCGTTCCTTTTGAAGCGCGACGGAGCGAAACATTGCCAACGTCACTTAATTGGATCATCTTCAAATGTCTTCGTATACGTTTTTTTTCAAACTGCTAACGTTACAGCTACTGGTTGCGCTTCGGTTCGCATTGTGAAATGTCTTGCACGCAGAAATAAGGCGAGTGTAAGTGAAGCCGAGCACGCGAGTATAGTTGCCTATGTGTATCGCCGATTTTAAAAGCAAGCACACTGCTTTGCCGTTGGCTAGCTAGGCAATTTATACCTTAACTTTCGCTTGTTGCAAATGTAGCTCTAACAAAACAACATCGAACATCATGATCAGACGATGAATGCCACTAATCCAAACAATTGTTGAAGTGATGCATGTGCGCCGGCACATCTCACGAAGCTCTATCAGCGTATGCTGCTGAGTGGTGTTTAAACGACGCGAGGGCACTCCTCGCACTGACTGCTCCTCTAGGTGCTACTCTACGTCACATAACCGATGTGCATGACAAATACACGCTAACGCTGCCCGCGTCAGAAGACTAGCCGTCGAACGAATGTTTCATCGGATTTTCAGCTCGCGCTACTCCTAAGTGCGATGTTCTTCCTGCAACCGCGATCACCATACGAACCGTTGCGATGAGCTGGACTAACATTACGCTTGTTTTTGCTGACGCGTGCAAATAGTAGGACAGTGTGACCGGCACTACTGCCCGCAAACTAGAGAAGCCGCGGATAGTCTTCGATACGCTATGACTCACTCTGGGAAGATGCCGGGCTGACTGTGTAGATGTGCCCGCAAGCGTTCCAAAGCCCGCGAATGCCTCGTTTCGTGGTTCTTAGTCGTTCCCGTAAAAAAACAGTTGGATTTACCGGCAAAGCTACCCGGTGCCGTCAGAAAGCAAGCATATATTGGTTAAGCGCAGCAGCATTTTACACTATTTACCCCGGGTATATACCGAGCTATTACAATCGACCCACGAGTTTTAATTCGCCAACCAGCCAAGTATTAAGAGACACGCTCGACCACTAGAAAATAAGTCGGTAGGCATCTTTTTTTTCTCCAGCGGTCGAAGGAAAGAAGCCACAAAGTTGACTGATACGAACCGCGCAGTTAGCCCGCTGGTGAGCGCGCTTTTGATTCAATGGCGGTAAGGTTATTTAAAATTGATTTTCTCCTACACTGGACGGTTTCTAAGGCAACCGGGACGGCTCGCTGTTGATCGTAGATCGGGCGCACAAAGAAAGTAGGCTTTCCAACGACAGCGCATGACACAGAGGCAGTTCCTTCCAGGCGATCCTCGCCCCTCCTCTATACCAAAGTCCCCGTCGCTCTGCTGGTTACATCTGCATGCACACGACTTCCAACATGCTTCATTGGCGATTATGAAGAGATGAGCTAGAATTTTAACCTTACTTGAGAGCTTATATTAAGCTAGATTACGGGTCCACAGAGCAAGATTCGGCGTGTCGTTCAGTGTCCCGCCGAGAAAGTCCAGTTGGAAGTGCGTGCTATAGATGCTATAGTGCCAACCTATCTATTTGTTGATTTTCAAATATGTATCCAGATCTTATTCGCGCCTTTCTTAAAATATCGGGTATTCGATGAAAGTGAGTGAATATAAAAAAATAAAAGGCGAGAGTGAGTTAGAGGATGTGTGTGTGTGTGTGTGTGTGTGTGTGTGTGTGTGTGTGTGTGTGTGTTGTGTGTGCGCGCGTGTGTGTGTGTGCGTGTGTGTGTGTGTGTGTGTGTGTGTGTGTGCGCGCGTGCGTGTGTGTGTGTGTGTGTGTGTGTGTGTGTGTGTGTGTGTGTGTGTGTGCGTGAGTGAGTGTGTGTGTGTGTGTGTTTGTGTGTGTGTGTGTGTGTGTGTGTGTGTGTGTGCGCGTGCGCGTGGCGTGCGTGTGTGTGTGTGTGTGTGTGGTGTGTGCGCGCGGCGCGGAGCGCAGTGTGTCGCCTGTGTGTGGTGTGTCGTGTGGCGCCGCGATTGGTGTGTGTGTTGTGATGCGTGTTGTGTGTGTGGTGTGCTGTGTGTGTGGTGCGCGTGCGTGCGTGGCGTGTGTGTGTGTGTGTGTGTGTGTGTGTGTGTGCTGGTGTGTGCGTGAGTGTGTGGGTGTGTGTTTGTCGTGTGTGTGTGTGGTGTGTGGTGTGTGTGCGTGCAGTGTAGTGTGTGTGTGTTTGGGCTGTGTGTGTGTGTCGTTGTGTGTGTGTGTGTTTGTGTGTTGTGTGTGTGTGTGTGTGTGGTCGTGGTGTAGTGTGTGTGTGTTGTGTGTGTGCGCGCCGCGCGCGATGTGGTGTGTGTGTGGTGTTGTGTATGTGTGTGTGGCGTGTGTGTGTGTGTATCTGTGTGTGTGTGTGTGTGTGCGGGTCGTGGTGTGTGTGTGTGTGTGTGTGTGTGTGTGTGGTGTGTGTGTGTGTGAGTGTGCTGTGTGTGTTCTGTGTGTGCTGTGTGTGTGTGTGTGTGGTGCTGTGCGTGAGTGAGTGTCGTGTGTG